GCATTACTATTGAGGAGCAAGAAGCTTCTGGGAGCAAGGGCATCGCTTCTAGGAACAAAGGGCATTACTATTAAGGAGCAAGAAACTACTAGGAGCAAGGGCATCGCTACTAATTAGGAACAAAGGGCATTACTATTAAGGAGCAAGAAGCTACTAGGAGCAAGGGCATCGCTACTAGGAACAAAGGGCATTACTATTAAGGAGCAAGAAGCTGCTAGGAGCAAGGGCATCGCTACTAGGAACAAAGGGCATTACTATTAAGGAGCAAGAAGCTACTAGGAGCAAGGGCATCGCTACTAGGAACAAAGGGCATTACTATTAAGGAGCAAGAAGCTACTAGGAGCAAGGGCATCGCTACTAGGAACAAAGGGCATTACTATTAAGGAGCAAGAAGCTACTAGTCTCCAGGTGCTGCAGCTGCCTGGCGTAGTCTCGGGCATTCGATCCTTGGCACCTGGGACGCAGTCGAACGCACCGGCATCACATGAGTTTGCCTCACCAAACCATGGAAGTGATGCATCGCTGTGCATTTGTCTTCAAACCTTCTTTCACCCATGAAACCAATTGAAAGCATCCGGCCTGATTTTGTGGTAGTGTTTCTTTCTTGGAAACTGCATCACCTTATGCAAGATGTGGAAGTGATGCATCACCTTACTCAAAGAAGTGATGCATCAAGCCGAGCAGTTCAGAAGCCGATTGTGACACTCACCGTGTAGCACAGCTGAATGCGACCAGGCTCAGCTGAAGGCAGCATGAGGCCACTGGGTGCGCTGCAAGTGATGAGATTCGTTAGCTTTGGCCTTTGCCTTTTGGTTGCTTGTTGCAACTCGGAAGGAACGGAATGAAAAAGACAACAACAGGAAATAGCAACCTGTTGCTGAGCATTTTAAGAGCATGTTTGCATCCTTGCAGAAGAGGTGCTCTTCCTACGCCAAAGTTCAAGAAGGTTTGAAAGGCAGCATTCTTCCTTTTTAATTACTCAGGGCTTGGGAACGAGAGAAGCTGCCAATTTCTTTTGTCCACATATATAAGGAATCACAAGGAAGGAACTCCCACACAATGTCTCTTAAGTAGACCGGATCAATTGTGACCAAGCTAGTTTGTTCTGTCGTTGATTATGTATATAAATACAACTGCTATACTGTATATAAATTACATTTCTTTGCTTCTCTTGCCATTCCAACCCACCTTGGAACACATGTGCTTCTCATGCTGCAGGTGTTCATGCTCTTCAAGTACCTTTTGAGGTTTTCCCAATGCAGTGATTTTGCAGGAGTATGAACAGAGCCCAATGAATAATGACAATGGAGCTAATGGCTTTGGATAGCAAAGTCGGCCAGCTGGTTCAACTCCTGCGCCGCGGAAATCAAATTTTCACTCGGAAGCAATCTGTCCGGAAGCTTCATGAAACTGAAGAATACAAATGATGACCACTTCGAAGGGCACCATGTCGTGCCACGTTGCTTGAGAATGCTTGAGACGCATCCGGTACTTGGAGCAAACATGCCTTCCTTGGACAGAGCTCCAGCTTTTTTCGCGGTTTTCCCCTGGCAGACTGCCAGGATCCCCATAAATCCCCCAAACCGGCTGCTTTTAAAGACACGGCTGATGGGCATTAGGACCTCAGAGCTGAACAGCCGGTGGAGTCAAGGAGGCTCACGCATTTTTCGCAAGACTGCAAGACTGTCGTGTGAAGTAAGAAAAGATCATCCAAGGAGGTCATTGTCATGTACCCGACATGGATTACACCTCGTATCACCTCGTATATGTTTTTTTTTTGCCTTATATACATGGATCATTGGCATCCTCCGTCCTTTGCAGGCAGCATAAGCTAGCGTAAACGGCGACCGCCTACGGGACGGTAGCTCCTCTATTCTTGCCACATTTCGGCTCCAAGGATCGCCATTTCACGTACTGGTCGCTCCAAACAAGGGTTTGGCGGCATGGAGCTTCCGACTCCCATTTTGCTCAACATCTCAGGCGCCAGGGCTACGGTAATATTGGTAACCGTAGATCATGACATGTGATGAATGGCAGGCCATCAACTGCGCAAATTTCGCCAAACATGGAGAGGATCAATGATATGATCAGATAATCAGATAATTACATATAATTATCACCCAAACCAAGGCAACCCTGATTTGCGACTATTCGGATCTATGAGTAGTGCACATTGCCCATCTACTTGCAGTTAGCACCGGAAGCGATAGTCGTAACAATACTTACCTGCAGGACAATGGACAGCTATACCTTGAGCGACACCTTTGAGCTGTACGAATACATTTAAACGCATACAATATAATAATAGGTATACAGGTATACGGTATACCGTACATATACAGTATTGCATGCTGCCAAGACCTGGGCAGCCTTCACTATGTCCTCCAGTTCCGTGTCTTCACGCTTGGTCATCCAGGAGCAGGTGAATCGACCACTCCGACTCCAAAAAGCCTTTTTCACCGAGCAGTCAAAGCAGCCTCGTTGGCATTGGATGCAATCCCGCGATGGACTGGCATGGACCTTGCCGTGACTCTTGGCAGTGACATGTGGTCATGGTTGCACGGTGTGTTTGGGGATTCTTGCAATAGCCTAGCACTGTCCACCATTGGGCTGGGCGGGTGGGATTTGGAAGACAATTCCATTGGAAGATGACATGAAGCCAGTTCAATCACTTATTACTAGTCTGTTTACCTCAGAGAAAGGACGACGTCACTACTGCAGGCTACTGCAAAAGAAGACAATTGGAAACTGCTGAAAGTTTTCTCTGACTTTGAACGCTCTGAATTACTGCCCCGTCACCGGGGTCGTCGGAATCACCTCACGAGGCCTGGACCGCTGGTCAGCCACGAAGCTTTAAAGCAAGAGAGCGCAGTGAAGGATCCAAAGCAGCGGAAAGTCCGCTTCCAGGCGCAGCCGCATAGCTTTTAGGTCGGATATAGTGGAAAGCGAAAGGGCAGGCTATAGTGAACATCATTGTGAAACCTCAGATTTATACCAATCATGTTCTGATTAAGGCGGTTAAGGTTAGCATGGCTCAGTGTTCTTGTTGTTTTTGTAGCCAAGACAGGTTAATGACGGCCAAGCAGATATCCATGGGGACCTTTGCTGAGTATAATGCATTATAATGCTAAGTTCTTGAGAAGGGCCTCTCTCTTTCTCGTCTCTCTCTTCTCTACAATTCAATTTATTTTCTTTACCTTTTTCATAGCACTGTGATGAGTCTGCTCTGCTTTTCTTTGCCAATTTTATCTACTCTTTCCTATTGTCTCCCTTTCTCCTTTCCATTTTCTCCTTCCACTTTCCGAAGCGACTTTTGTTTCCTTTCATCCTACTGGTATTGGGTTGTGCCCTGTGATCCCCAGCATTCTGCTCAGGCTCACCATGGGGATGCCCATCTTGCCATGGGTACCGTGTGTCTTCCCCCACCATCAAGTGGTTTTGACCGGTTTTGAGGGAAGCATTGTTCGTTGCCCGCTCCTTTGCATGAAGACTTGATGTCTTCCACAACCTTACCTTGACTACGCACTGGTATCAATCCATGCAAGTTGAGGGCACGTGCCATGACATGCAAGATGTATGACCTCCAGATTCAGTTCTGTGTTGTTTCGTTTGCAAGAAAGAGGCTTCAAGTCGCCGGACAGTGAAACCTTGCCAGGAGCCTGACATTATTGAGGTGCCGAGTTGGAAAGATGAAACACGGCAGATGTATTTCAATTCGGCCATTGATCAGGAGATTCGACCTGCCTGAAACTAGGTGGTGCTTCTTGGAGGACTTGTCCAAGAGCTTCAGCTAATTAAAATACAGGTTCGGTTTCGGTATTGCTTTGCTTTGTCTAAGAGCCCTGGTATAGTATAATATACTGAACAACTCACGCGTGGAAACGGTTGAATGTGCAAGCACCAAAGCAGTAGTAGCAGCTGCATTTTGAAGTGCAGAGATTGGGTCTTCATGGTCATAGTCGTCACACGACGCCTCCCTGCTGTTCGACCTATACTAGATGCTAATGAGATGGGATTGGTGAAACCTATGCACCGGTTGAGGTTGGCACATCTCATGTGCCCAAAACATAGCAAAAAAGTGTCCATACACTTTCCTATCTCACGTGGTCTGGGGCCACTTGTGGGCCCCAAAACAAGTTTACATTGGAGTTGACTGGGATCTTTACATTCAGCCCGCTGGAGGTTGCCTAGCCACATGAGACAGGATCTGAATGAGGTGGTTACATGACATCCTGCAGCATAGTCAGTTGACAAAACGCTTGAAAGCACTGGAGTTTCAAACAGGATTGACTGCGTTTTTGGTTACAAGCAGCATTTGATATGGAGAGTTGGAAGGCTTACTTGGCATTGTTTGAGTCCATGTGAGAAAAATAACCCAGCTTAGTTTCCCCAATTTTTCACTGCATTCTTGGCAATGCGACACGTGGGATAGGCCGAAAAAGCACAAATCAGTGAACACACCCTTTTCCATCTCATGTGTACCAGGATTCTTGATGACGACCTAGTCCTATCTCATGTGTCCTGGTGTATTCCAAAACATGGTCCGTAAAATCCTATCTCATCAGTAACCAGTATAAATTCCTTTTCAAGTGTCCTCGTCGTCATCCAATCCTGCTTTGCAATTGATGACTTGCATCTTTGACAGATGAACTTTGTTTCTATTGTTGTCTGCTCCCCGTTTGTGTCACCCTGACTCTAGAAATATCTAGAAACTCACTTGCTGCATTATTGTGTTGCAGTCCCTTTTGCCTAGTAGAAGCAGTTTTTTTTGCGGGAAAACAACATGAGAACGGCGCTGGATTTGCCGATGTTTTCAGACCGACGCCAGGACGACCTCCTGGAAGATGCGATCGATCTCTTGGTGAAGCAAATGCAGCGCTTTGTCTCCTCTCGCGTAGCGCTCTTGGTGACCTCAACCGCAGCGCTAACGGGCATGGTGACTTGGCCAAAGGACCCACACATTCGAGTTTGCGCACCTAACACCTACAAAGTAGACTCAGGTTTCAGTCAACAAGCAGCTTACTTGAAACGTTCAAACTGTATTAGTCAATGCTCTGTGAAAGTTTTCAGGGTTGACTGAAGAAAATAGAGATTGACAAAACGAACTTGCACGGTGACAACCTTTACAGCTTCACAGTCTGGGGATGTGGGACTGCATGTGGGATGACGCCTTGAGATGCCTTGAGGCTGTTATGGGGATGAGTGAGAACCTTTTGCAGATGTAATTAGAGCTCGTTTCACCATGGCTGCAGTTGGCCTATGCCAATGGCAAGCTAGAGCTGTCCAGAACAGCTTGAAGCAAGAAACATGCTGTGCACAGCGGCTGATGTTCAAGTGGGGGTTACTAAGGCTAGGCTATGACTAAGTGTTATCTCCGATCGTGCACGCATGGTCATTTCTTGGGTCAAATGTGCGCCCTAAAATCATTATCCAAATTCGCTTGCAGCTTGGAAGGCAAGTTCCATTGGAAGTTGGATGCGGACCACTTGAAACTTCATTCAGATGAATTCAGCTGTGAAGCTCTCCATGAGCGAGAGCCCTGCTTGATGAATCCTGCAATAGGCCCTTGATGTCTTGTGGTATTCTCTTCGCTGAAGAGTCTGAGAATAGTCATAGTCATAGTCACTGTTTGCTGTTGTTTCTTTACAATGCCGGGATTTGTTTGGCAAACGCAACCGGACTACGCGTGTCACTACGATGGCACAACTCCTGTGCCATGGCGATCCCTGCTTGCCACACGGCTATGACTCCTTTGCCAAAGGACTGCCACTGAGACTTCTGACGAACATGTTTGTTTTCGGGTGAAGTGCTCAGAAATATTGGCTCTCCACATGCTGTAGATGCTGTAGGCTGTAGGTGTGAGCTAGACTGTTGAATTACAATTTTCATTAAAAGCTCAATGTCAGCACTAATCATGTATGGACACTGTGTATATAAATGTATATATATATATATACTTTTATATGCACAAATGTTGTTGTCCGCGCATAACTTTTGGGTGTGTGAGCAAGATATTCTTTGTGCAATGTCTGACAAAATTGGGGTCTGCCCATTGGGTGAAAGGGTAGGCTATGATTCTTTTGGCACATTGGAGCTGAATGACTCGCACCACATTGCATGATGGAAGTTGTGGAAACGCACGGCTTTGGACCGCTTTTTCCGCAGGTTGTTTAACTTCGAACTATTTCGATCCATCTCAAGGCGCTGGGGGCTGGCAGAGTCGACGACTCGCCAAGAGAAGCTGAAGATCTCCGGTTCTCCGAAGAGAGCGCCACAAATCGAGATCTTCCAGGAACGAAGGCAAGAGCCAGCAAGAAGAAGCCCAGTGTTCAAGACTTTTCGCCGTGCGGAGAGAAAAAGCTCGGAGGATTTCAGCATGCGAAACGTATGTGCTTGGCAGGATAAAGAAGGCCACGAAGGAAGATGTTGCCGCGGTGGCGGCCAATTGTCTTTATGATGGCAACTTGCACCCAAGTCGTTGCCGAATCCCTGAGCTTTTCTTCATGATACCTGTTGCCAAAACGTTTTGCTTGGTGTTAAAGGCCAACCAACAGCTCTCAATAGGAAGAACTGGCGCCACATCATGCAGGTATTCAAGCGTTGGCTCAAGCATTGTTCGAAGCATTCAGAAGCAGATTGGTTTTGCATATTGTATACTTCCGGAAGCATCCTCCTGACCTGTCAGTGTGTAATTACGGTTCCTTTGTGCATGGGAGTCATGTCACTGTCAGAGATCCTTATTGATCCAGTCAACTTTCAAGCAGCACAAATCATTTCGGATAGACATTGGAGTCGCATACATTAGTGACCAACGCAAGACCCTCAGCTACAGCAGGTTGACAATCATATCTCAGGAACGCTATGGAATGCTTTACAGTACTTTTTAGTTCATTTGTCCGTTGAATGTTCACATCGTTCTCGCATTTTGAACTAGGCCTTGACCACTTGGCTAGATACCTGCAGCATGCTGGGCACTTGGTGAAGCGAGACGATGTGAAGGCGACAAAACATCTGACAGACGCCCAGCATTTTCATGCGGTTTTCAATGGTTTTCAGGTGCCGCATGTTTGTGAGAGGAACTGCATACTGGCTCCAGAATTGATGTGTTTGCTTCCACACACCTTTGCAAGGAGTTCTGAAGCCATCAAATCCCTGCATTATCATGTATTCACAGAGGTCTTCCGGCAGGGAATCTGGGCTTGCAAGCTTTACATGACGGCGCCTAGGATTGAAACCATTGTGAAGAACTCAAGTTACAGTTAGACTCAAGAGTTGGAAATTGGAAACAGTTTGTGATATTGTTTGTATATATATATATATGTATTTAGAAAAAGGTTGGAATATGTTGTAATATACTTTTCCTGAAAAGAAGCCTTTCTGCGTGCCATGTGGAAAGCGGGATTGTTGGCCACTGTTTCCGCAGTGTCCGATGGCGATGTGCGCTTGGCAGGAGGGAATACCGATGCCGGCCGTGTGGAGGTCTTCCATCTCGGCAAGTGGGGTTGGATTTGTGGCAACAATGAGTGGGATACAGCGGCAGCAGAGGTGGTTTGCCGGCAACTGGGATTGCGTAAAGGGCTGAGTATAATGCGAATGCCCAATGGACCCCAAGAGAATATCTCGGGCATCCGAAACGCTCAGTGCAAAGGTACCGAGAAGGACCTGCTGAACTGCCAAATTGAACTGAGCTTCAATGGCAGCTGTTTGGAATCCGAGTTTGGAGCAGTAGGAGTGAGATGTACAAACTTTTTACCTGAGGAGCAGCCTCCTGTGGTGTTTCCGGCAAATTTTACGTGGCCCTTGCAGGCAGAGCAGCGCTTGTTCTGCCAGGACCCGACAAATGGTGAAAGTGAGGCACTGCCCACTTTTCATTGCAGTGTACTCCACGAAGAAGGCATTTGTGGAGCAAATGATGCTCCCAATCCATTCCTGGACTCCCTGGATGCCTTTGTTTTCAAGGAGCCAATGAAGGCTTACTTAGCACTTGCTGGCCAACAGCGCGAGGCATTCAATGTATCTGCGGCCAGCGCCACTTGGCGTGCTGTTGGCTTCGAGCTGAAGAACTCAGCAGAGGTCGGAGCATTACGCCGTGGATTTCTCTCACCACTGGGACGTTTGCTCTTTGATTTGGACTTTGATTTGATGAACCGAAGGAAGTTGCACCCGCTGGAGCCAGGTGCCGCACGTTTGTTTTCGGCACTGGAAGCGTATGGAGCGGTGGAGCTGGAAGATCTGGGCTTGCCCCGAAGTATCCAGGAGCAAGCCTTGCAAGCCCTCGGCGAAGTCCGCGCACAGCAAGAAGGCAACATGCTGGCTGCCGCACGGCCGAAGCTGCCCGAACTCGAGCATTGGCTTCACAACTCGACGCTCAGTGCAGCGGTGGCTGCCTACTTTGGTGGTCATGCTATGCTGCACGGCTACAAGGTGGTGCATTTGCCCTCCAAGTTCACGACAAAAGATTTTGTGGCTGCGCACTGGCACCACGATCGGACTGGGCACAGACTGAAACTGCTGATTCGTTTGAATGACGTGGATCCACTGGAAGGGCATCCAACCCAAGTGGCATTGGGATCGCATCGCTTATCTTTCTACTGGCATGAGGAGTTCGAGCAATCTCGTTATGAGGAGGTTTACGTGCAGAAAGAGTTCCACACAGTTCGCTTGGCCGGGAAGAGGGGAACTGGCTTCCTCTTTGACACCAACAGCATCCACAAGGGCACACCTGAAGGATCTCATGACCGAGACGTCATTGTTGTCGAGTACCACCAAGCTGCCAAGTGCGGTGTCATCTCCCAACTGCGGCTGAACCTGCCATGCCCGAGTGGTGACCAGAGGCCTTTGAATTGGTACTTTCGTCTGACAGACAAGTCCATTCAGTGGATGCCCCATGCCGATGTGCCGCGCAAGAAAATCATCAGGACCGGACTGAGGAACCAGAGTAACAAAAGAAGCTACTACGGGCTCCTGGCCGTACTACTAGGAGCAAGGACGCTACTAGGGGCTCCTGGCATCGCTACTAGGAGCATTCTTACTACTAGGAACAAGAAGCTGCTAGGCATTACTAGGCTAAAGCAGAGTAACTATGATGCAAGGGAGACCCAAAAGCAAGCTCATCGCCTGAGAGAGGTTCAAGAAGCTTACAGCCCTTGCAAGATGTCAGCTTCCAGTCGGGGGCCGAGTGTATGTCTTTTCGTGTGGCTGGACATGCAACCAGCTTTAGACAATGACAAGCCTTGCAATCTGTGCTGAGTGCATTGCTTGTCGTTTGCGGTTTGCGAGAGTGTAGTCTTTACAAGGTGGCACCGGTTAAACCATGTTAAACCATCCTTGAGGCCAAAGCCAAGCCCCTCTCAAGCTGCAGGCAGGAAGGATGGATTTACCTCCTGATTGGTGACCAGCATGTGAGATCCATCCAAAAACATCGGAACCAAAAGCTGTTTGTCGGTAGGTTTTACATTGAGCATACAGTACATTGAAAACCGATGAGGAAGCCGACAAGGTATGTTAGTGATATATATATATAGTGATATTATAGTCATTTATATTCATCAAACATTGGACACCGATGAGGAAAACCCAAACCCGATGCCCTGTCCTAATGACCGCTCCCAGATGTAGGGAATTTCGGACAGAACTCATGTCCATTTGGATGATAGAACTGATCGCTTTGATGATGTTTGATGATATGGAACGGATTATATAACTCTGTCAAATGTGGCATCCAATAACTTGCGAGCTGTCGGCGACCAGGCAATGCGATGTTGCCATCGTGGGAGGCGGTGTGATTGGAGCATCTGTGGCACTTCATCTGGCCGCAGCAGGCGCTGCCAAGGGGAAACCCAACAGGAAGCCCAATGGGACGACAGCAGAGAATGGACAGAGAATGGACAAAGCACTCTGTGAGCTTCGTCAGATTAAGAGAAGATAGTTCAAGAAGTTGCGAAAGAAAAAGAGATGAAAGGAAAGTAAGGCCCTTTAAACGGCGCCTTACCTTTCTTCATCTCTTTCTCTTCTTGCTTTTTTGAAATTACATACTACATACTACATACTGTAATCGATTGAGGATGATAGAGGCATGTGGCCCGGTCTGGCTGGCAGCCTGGAAACAGAAGACAATGCTCGCGAGTTGTTTTTGGCGAGGCAGAACATTCCGGGACAGTTGGGGAGGACTTGACGAATGCTTTCTCATCCATTTGAGTGTGTATATCGTCAAGCGATGTCAAGCGCTATCTTTTTTGCAACGCATCACACATTTGTGTTGCGTCCCTGTCCATTGAACCTCACCTTTCCATAGCTGGGCATCGCTTGCAGGTGCTGGGAAAAAGGTCTAAATCTCAAGGGCGATTTCGGTCACCCACTTCCGTAGGATTATGCATCTTCCAATCCATTCTGCTGCTTTCTTAGCTTGCTAATCCTCAAGTGTATTATACAACACAAACTTAGTAAACACACGCGAGAAGCATCTATAGATGTCCATAGACATTTGCAGTGTTGTATAGTTTATCTCAAAGAAGGTTATTGCGCTGATGACTCATGACTATCAGTGTTGCATGTTGATTGGCTTCAATGCCGTTGCCACCCCTCGAAGAAATTCAAAGAATATGTCATTAGGTTTTTGTTGTATACAATTGAACTTAGTGCAGATCTTCATCTAATTTTCAAGGTATTTGATGGTGTTTGCTCCCTAAGGCTTTTGCTCTCCACTTGGAAGGTCAAGCCACGCCTCAGGTCGCAGTCTTTGAGTCAGATGCTTCATATTCCCGCGCCTCCGCACCCCGCTCGGCGGGTGGCATCCGGCAGCAGGTCGGGAAAGAGTCTGAATGAAGAAAGAACAGAAGAAAAGGATGAAAAAGAAAACCCTTCGGCCATCACATCTCCTTGTTTCAAGCTTGACCTGCCAAAGCTGTCACTCGAATCCTACTTCATTCACGATCTACCTTGAAACCAAGCCATTGGTCAGTTCTCTCTGCCGGTGAATGTGGAGCTGTCGCTCTATGGCGTAGACTTCCTGAAACACAAACTGCATGACCTTTGCGAAGGACTTGGGACGGGGAAAGAGGAACTTGTAAGGACTTTCCAACTTCATCATTCGCATGGTGATAGTTTTTCATAGACTAGTCTTGGGAATACTCTAAAGACCCTAATTGGATGATGTTACTTGCGGGAGAGATACGAGACGTACGAGTGCATTGTTTACACGTAACAAAGTGCTGTGAATTCGGCCAAATAAGGGTCAACTTTTTGCTACCGCCCAGAGTGGAATTCCCACTCCAGCGCTGGCACTTCGTCACACGTCAATTACACAACGAATAGTATTAACATAGATTAATATATTAACTTTTTCCAGTATTCGGTCTATCCCAGTTGTCGTGTTGCGGAGCTGATAGTAGCACGTATCCAGCGTATCCGATGGGCGCAATACTTTGTGATAAGTTTCGAGGTCGCAAAGTCGTGACAGTTCCGCCAGGAATTGATGTAGATGCGGATGTGCAGTTTAAGGCACGTTTTTCAATTTGTATGGATTCGAGATGGGAAGCATTTAGTGCGACGAAACTGCAGATGTCGGCCGGAGGAATGAAAAAAATATGATAAACCAATACAACGTGGGCTTCTCAGTTGTCAAAGGAGAATGGCTACCTCCTGCTGGCCACTCCTGAAGGAGAGGTGCGGGCGCCAGGTACCTGGCACCTTGTCATTTGAATCGAGCTTTGCTGACTTCGAGGCGGCATTGAGAGAAAACCATGCGGTGCAGCAGGGTTGTGGTGCGTCTTGGATCCGGCTGATGGATCCCAAAGAGCTGCGCACGAGGCTTGCCTGGAGGGATATAGCACAGCTCTTGCTGTGAATCGTTGAATATGCCTGGTCAGTTGTGAGCACAGCTTTGTCATAGCTTTGTTGGTCAATCAGGTTCCCTTGGCTCTGTACAGATGGAGTTGCACTGGGCTCCTTTGGTGAACGCGTGAAGCTGAGGAATCTACATGTTCTGGATGCTTTGCAGATTGTGTTATTATTTTTAAAAATATTATAAGCCTTGTTGGGAAGTTTCACATTTGTAGCGAGAGGCAATGAGGGCTATTTCGACCCCTGGGCATTGCTTCAGGCCGCAGGGAGATGTATGTTTCCTTTCAGTTGTCAAGTCAGTTTGAACTATAGGTTGTCGGCAGGTTGATCTGAAACCAGCAGATTGGTTCCACAATTTGTATCCATCCTGCAATTCAAGCATATCTTAGCAACTCATACAGTCTTCTTCACCTTCCAACGCGCAGCATGCGGCAGGCCATGCGTAAAGCTGCCATGGCCAGAGGTGTTGAGTTTATCGAGCAGTCCGTGACGGGCATTCAGGTGTTTGGAGCTCCCAGATCGATGTCCTTCACGTGTCGTGCGTTGGGTCTTTGACTTCAAAACTCCGAAAAAGCAACAGAGGTTTGGTTGCTCTCGATGCCATGCGTTACACTGAGGACCGAGGACCTTAGCATGATATACTGAAAAATACATATTGGTCCTACCATGTCACATGTCCGGTCCGGCATGTCAAGGTCCTACCTGTTCCGACAATTGGTGCGGTTCTTTGGAACAAAGCTCCAAGGTCCAAGAACCATATCGAGGCCCTTACTCTCGGCGATGGCACCAGAGTCTCTGTGGCAACGGTCGTAAACGCTGCAGGCGCGGGGAAGCGCTTTGAGATAGCTTCAGTTGGAGTCTACAGACTAAAATGGATGAGTACTAACGGAAAAATTAGATGCTGCCCCCCAGATAAACTGTTGGTGGTGACTGTGGCTGTTGCCTTGGATGGCTTATTCAACATTGTTCGCGCTTGTTGTGGCAGGGAGAGTTGAAAGTCGTGTGACAAGAATTTGGAACATGGATGGTCATTGTGGGATTGTATAAGGAAGATAGAATAGAATAGACCTGAAACTATATAATTGATGCTGTAATCAAACATACACCTGTTTTTTCGCATTTGGGGCAATGCCGTCCATGTCTATCTTAAAGAAAGTTTCGAAGGTATCTCCCCTGAAGTTTGGTTCGAGCAGCTGAGCCACGGAGGCGCCTTTGGCGGACATGTGCTGCCAGCTCAGTTGCTTGTAGCTTGTAGTGGAAGGTAGTTTCCTGAAGATCTTTATATATTCCGTGATTTCCATGAAACTTGAAGCCGCGATATGCCGCGATATTTTCTTACTAACACACATGGCATAAGGGTGCATATGGTATTTAAACATATTTATTGTTTGCTACTAGTAACAAGTTCATCGCTACTAGGAACAAGTGCATTTACTAGTAGTGCTATTTGCAGCGTCCTTGCTACTAGTAGTAATGCCCTTGTTACGTATTTGAGTGCAGTCGACGTGCTTGACACTCTCATCGATCAGGGTGCAGATGTGCGGCGATGTGACCCCACTACCAGTGGTGCCACGCAAGTGCGGTGCATACTGAGAGGGCCAGTGAAGCAGTGCAACACTAGAAATTGCTTTCCGCATTTTTGCTTGAGCCTTCTTTCTTTCCGACTGTTTTGGAGGCCAATTAGCTTGCTCGTTTTTGAGGAGCTTTTCCAACCACCAAACATATCTCAATCGGTGCTTTTCCACCTGCCTTCTTTCGGCGGACAGCTTCCAACAAATGCTCATCATGCTTCCACCTGTGCGATGATGAATGATGCGAGAAGATCAGAAGCATGTGATATGCCTCTGTATGTAGTCAGTGACCCTCAAACTTTATATGAATGTAGGGAACCTTCTGAGCCATTGAACCGTTCTCTACGGATACATGGCTCATCATGGATCCATAGGGGTTCTACCCGCCATCAGGGTTTCGCCTGTCAGGCGGTGCATGTTTCTCTTCCATGTGGGCCAAGAGGCTGTGGGCGCATGTGTGTGAAACGAAGACACGGACCTATACGGGCGGATGTCGGGTATACCCTGGCCAAGCTGGTGCGACTAGCATTGGCAGAATTGCAACATGGCATCCAAACCATTGTTGACAAACTCAACACATGCATCCATGCCGTGCTGCAACATGAATGCGTGGAGGTGACCAGTGACGGGACGCCTCGGCCACCAGACAACACCCCGCTCACCATTGATGCGAGTGGTGTGTATTTTCGTCAGCAGCTGAGAGTGGCTCAGTCAGGCAGAGTCGCCAGTGGCTAGTGGCTGATGAAACCACGAACTGGAATGGTGGTCTCAGCCAGGCTGTCCATGCTTTGCTCACAAAACAATGCGAAAGGAAGAAACCTCGCACTGGCTATGGTGTGCGATAGTGTGAGTCGCTTGAGGTTCAGAAGGCTCTTGTGCCCGCTTTCTGTGCCTTTTCTGCAAGATGACTGTTCAAGATATTTGAAGATTTAGATTGGATGCAGTGATCAGCAACCTGACACAGGCGGCATGTCGGTCAAGCAACAAGGAAACACAATGAACAGATTGCAGCTGCCTTTCAAGATAATGAGTAGCAAGAAGCTACTCGGGGCTCCTGGCCTTACTACTAGGAGCAAGAACGCTACTAGGGGCTCCTGGCATCGCTACTAGGAGCATTCTTACTAATTCACAGACGAACGTGTGCGAAGGTGCGGTGTGAGCCCCAAGCCAGAGGCCGCTTGCGTTTGGTTCACTTGTAGAGGTGGTGCTGCAATGCCTGTGGCCTGGGTGACCGGCGAAAAAGGGCAGCTAGGTCCTAGGTCCATCTAGGTCCTATGTCCTAGGGTTGCGCATAAACAATAAGCTACCAGGAACAAGTGCATCGCTTCTAGTAACAAGTGCCTTACTAGTAGTAACAAGAAGCTATTAGAAACATCGGGACGCAACGGATCTCGGGTTTGAGACGCGTCGGGTCGGGTGAGAAGCACTTGGACCACGGCGGCTGGCCGCTTGGGTTGGCTGCTTGAAGGACGACCACGACTGCGATGCCGATGCAGTCGACCACGTGGATTACGAACTCTTCGAGGATGAACAGCTTTTGGAACTCATCGATGGGAGCTGATCTTCGCACATGAGTTCACATAATACATAAGTGATCTCTCAAATTTGATCTCAAAAAACAACCTTTGAAGGTTGATGAGCATTCATACTCAGGACATGTTCAGTCTGATGTGCCAGGAGGTGATTTGGCCAGCTTTGGCGGAGCGAGCTCCGGCTCTGGAGGCGCTTAAAGCACCACCGATGGGGTGGGATCATCCAGACATGAAAACGAATGAACCGATACAATGAGCCACACTTGATTTATACCTTCATGATCGTTCATGTTGGCGTGGCTTCTTGCTGCAGATGGAGCTTGCCAGAATGAAAGGTCAATATACAGTTGTTGTTTAAGAAGAGGCAGGAACACTTGAACATTGACAGAAGGCAGACCTGCTAAGTGTATTTGGGCCAAACATTTCTTCACACACTTCCCTGAGGCCATTAAGCTGGAATCCTCTTGGGCCGGGCTCTACGAGTACAACACACTGGACCAAAATGGTGTGGTGGGGTCGGGAACCTGAAGATTTGCCAGGTTGGACATCCTTATGAAGGCATAGGACTAGGATTTTGACAATCTTTGGCATCATTCCCCCCAGTGCTACTAGCAGCAAGAAGCTACTAGGTGGAGGCCATCGCTATTAGGTTGGAGGCCATTGCTACTAGTAACAAGAAGCTAGTAGCAAGAAGTTTCAGTATTTACAAGAGAAGACGGAAGTGGCGATCCAGTAGACGGAACCGAAGGGGATTTCTCAATGAAATGGTCTGAATCTCTTCGATGTCTCAAGGGTCTCAAGCGATGAACAACTTTTCAAAAAGTGGTTGTGGGAAACCTGGAAAAGCGTTTCAACAATTAAACCTTATGATGATTTGACTTTGTTTTTCATACTCTCTTCGTTACCCAGCGGTTTTAGCAGATGCTTGTTCGAAGCTCCGGGCACTGGGCCCAGGTGGCATCCAGATGTGTCCAATCTTTTGATCGCTTGTGGCTTCAGTGGCCACGGCCTTCAGCAGGCGGCGATTGGGCAACTCTCAAAGAAAAGCTACTAGTAGCTTCTTGCTACTGGTAGTAATGCCCTTGCTACTACCAGCCTCTTAGCAGTTACAACATGTTGCAAAGGAAACCATCACATTCAATATCATTAAATTCTTCCCATACAATTGATGTCCCTCAGCTTGTGCAAGGGAAGTTGAGGACACTCAATTGGGTTTTCTTTGCAGATGCGAAAGGCTCTTTGCCCAGTGCTGATGACAGTCCAGTCAAGCAAGGGTAGAACAACAACAACAACATCATCATTGTTGCTGGTGTGTTGCACTCCTTACACTGTCCCCCAAACGCAGTCAAATCACAAGGGGGCCGAATGATACGGTTCAAACTCGGGAAAGGAAGCCGTATCCCAGTAGCAATCAATATGTAATACTGTGAGATATGGGCCATCTACTCTTATGTAGGGTTTCCTTCACGCAGAGTAATCCCACGCAACGTTGATTGCAATCCAACAGCCATAGCCGCATTGACCCCACAGGCGCCGGGCGTTGGCCGCGCTGTTGCAGAGCTGATCTCCTTCGGTGGGTCTTGGGCCGAGAGAGCAATTCTTGGGTTCAATCGAGAGTTAGTAAAAGTGTAGAATTCAAGATAAACAGGTTCTTAGTACATTTGTTTTCTCCTTTATTTGTCTTTTATTTTGTTCTTTAGACCTTTCCTTCTTCCTTTCTTTCTGTACTATTTGCTTGCTGAAGTGAACGCAAGGTAGCTTGGATGGATGCTCGATATGTCTTCAATATATATATATATATAATATATATATATAGGTTCTTGAAACTTTGTCTCACTTTCATTGTCAAGCTCCGCAAGTGAAATCCAAGCAGGGATAGCAAGAATTATCAAAGAAGACCTTTTCTTCAAGCCTACACAAAGTGTTTGCACAGATGACACATCACACTTTCGACCTAGGTACAGAACCATTGACCTCTCCATTCTGAGCTACGATCGAATCCAGCGGAATGAGCCGGTGTTCGAACAAGGCATTTATTGAGCGGGTTTTGCCTGCCAAAGCAGGAGGGAGATCAGAAAAGGGAGCTCTAAGCACACAACCCCGCATCCATAGAGCGGCTCCATAGAGCGGCAAACAATCAATTTATTTGACCATTTGATTCTTCAATGGCTTCGACGAAGCTCTGGAACGGTTGTGCCACTGAACGGCAACTTCTCACAGGTCACATTGACTGTTGGTCACAGAAGCAGCGAGTGGGTTCAGTTAAGGAAGGTCAAGGAACTGCAAGGATGAGCCAGGTAAACCATTGTAAACCAAAACTTGGGTCGCAGTTGCGCCAAGCATCGCTGCCAATCTTCGTAGATCTTGGCAGCTTATTCCAAGTGTGGGAAAGGCATGGTCATAGCTTTCTTGGCTGAATCTGACCTTAGCCTTGGCTGCTCTCAGCATCACGGAAGCCTCGAGATTGACATGCTGCATGTCTGAAGTTTCTATCCGATTCCAAGTTATTGCAAGTTGTTGCAAAACGAAGGATGTCATGATCTTCCGTTACTTTGGTTCCTGGAAGATATGATATAATTTACATGATTTCCCACAGGCATGGTGCGATCCAACTACCCCAACACATACGCATTGAAGTTTATTGAAGTGATTTTCCCGTTCAGTTGCATGGTCACAGCCTGGATGGCTACAGAAGGACCGCGGGCAGGGATCAAGTGGTCCATGGAATGCTTGTATCTCAGGAGACCTCCAGAACAGATGTGACAGATGTCGTTTGAGTCATTGTAAGGATTGACCAAAACGCTCCCCGAAGCGCTTATTGGCTCAGTGCTGGTTGTGGTGTATGCACTGTTGACTTCTCAGCTATGGTTGTCGGTGCATCCGGCCTTCGCATGCGGGTGAATCGAGTGGCAAGGCCATTGATGAAGAAGAGACAAAAGGACATGAAGAAGAGCGAGCTTGCAGCCGATACGGCTGAGAAGTCTTTTGAAGCAGTCAGAAAAGAGCTCAAGTCCAAGAGGAGCACCATCAAGAAGGCAAGCGTGGACCTTCTCAAAACAGCCAAGGTAATTTGTGCTGAAGGAAAGATGGTGGACAAGATGTCCAGGAAGATGTGGGAGCTGTTTCAGTCAACCCTGAAGAAGAAGATCCGGGACGCGCTGTCTTTGAAGAAGGAGAATGACTACCAGCTACCACTGGGACAAGTGCCCATTCTGCTCAACAATGTGGAGCCCGAGTTGCTGGACCAGGCTGGGCCCAACTAATGAAAAAATCAGAGCTGGGTCTTGTTTGAGGGGCACCTGCAGTGCAAGGAAGGCAGATCAATGCAAGGGAAAACTGCGAAGCCCACCTGAACACCCAAGAGCGTGAGTCCTAGCAGGTAGCAGGTCCTAGCACCAGACTTAATCTGACCCATGCTGAGCTTCAACTGCAGAGCCCTCTTATCCATGTTTAGGCTTGAGCGGAATGTGTCTCACAGCAGTTGGCAGTGTCAGGTGCGCAAGTCGCTGGGCGAGATGGTGACCGCACTTTCTTCATCTACAGACGATGATGATGACGAGGCCGCACGCCTGTTCTTGCCACTGCAGCCATAGGTTTCTTTTGTTTGGCGCATAGGAGTCACAGGAGGTTGTTCTTTCCGTTCAGCCTATTGACGGCCAGTTGCTGGCAAGCCCAGCTGACTTTCTCGTCAGCATGCCAAAGTGAGGTGACTTTTTGCCAGGTCGCGAGAACTTTCTGTTTGTAAGATGTTCCTTCAGAATAATGACCGTCTGAGAGTGTAGGTCCCGCCACTGTCACGCAAAGTTGCTTGCAAACGTGCCGTGATTTTGTGTGTCTGCGACTTGCAGAGCATGCCAGAGGCGGAGCAGAATGAAGACGAGGAGGAGAAAGAGGGCTGCGCGGAGCCGGCCGTGGACTCGCGCAGGGCCATTGTAGTTGACGCTGTCGACTACACCATTGCCCGGCGCGTTGAATCGTGGAACAGCCGGCGCCAGCCTGGGAAGACCGAGATTGAACTATCCCGTCCTCAGCTTGTTCACCTTTGGAAGAAGTCCAACACGCGCGGTGGAGACTTCAAGCAGAAGCGGATGAATCATGTCTCTTCTGCGACTTTGTCCTATGAACACACCAGCTGCCAACTGACACTGATGCTGAATGTCGTTGCCGGGGAAGCCAATGATGCAGCTTGACATGTTTGTTGTTTGTACAGCGTTTGCGCAATCGGGGGGAACATGTCTTAGCATCAACGTCGCAGGCCTGTTTAGCTCAAAAGGGCTTTCCACGCGCAGTCTTTCGTTTGCTTTATTGTTGCGCGCTTCTGGCGTGCAAGCTTGGCAGCTGCAAGTGCAGTTCCTGGTGCTGGGCCCTTCCCATAGCCACTCCAACTCAGGAGCCAACTTCCCATAGCCACTGCTTGGACGCCCAGCTTTAACGGGAAATGTGGAGACTTTTGAGAGTTAGTGGCCCTGCTGGCTCTGCAGGTTAAAACAGTGTTTCAACTTGGTACTGGGGTTGGGGGGATTGGCGCCAGCAGCTGACATGTTCGTTGTGGGGTCGACCGTATGTGCGCCAAGGTTCTTCGGCCTCAGATGAGACGGGCTGGCGCAAAAAAGAAGCCTTTGAAGCGTGCTTTGGGCTTTGGTTTTGGAGTTCGATGTACGTCCCTCCACCACAGCTTGAAGAAATTTAAAGAAGAAACATTCTATAGGTGTGGCCAATGCAACCAACATGTTTGATTGGGGGTGTTTGGCTCGAACCAAAAAGCAACCGCAAGCGTCATTCGGCTGTCACAATGGAGGCAATTTGAAATCACTGTTTTTGACAATTTGGCACGCTCAACTTTCCCGGTTTGTTTTCGCAGAGGCCTTGCTGACCATGTGATTTTCAGCATCTGCCGCCGTTGTGTGGATTTTCCACATTCTGACAGCTGTCAGATATTGCAGGTGGATCCTGAGTATCCGGGCACCTCTGTGGAACGGCTTCGAAACATTCAGGCAGTGACTGCGCATCCAGCTGATGCGTCGTGATTCTGGAGTGTCAAGTTGGAGTATTGACCCAGCCAACTGAAGGCGCGTGTGAAAAGCTTGAGCGTGGAAGATCTCAGCAAAGATTGGGAAGAGGCGATGTCCATTTTCAAAATTGAAAAATCATGTTTTTTTCCATTGTGCATTCGGAAATTTGTTCAGCGCAGCATTTTGACCAGGTGAGGCGGACAATCCTTTGGGCTGGAGGTTTGAAGGAGCCCACACTGATATGGGACACTGTTTTGGGAGCGGACCATGATGGAAACATGTGACGGTTCACAGTGTCCATGTTTTTTGCAGGGTTTGCTGCAACGGCAGCCCCATACTAACATATACAATTGAATTGAGTCGTATTGCCAACAAAATCAATTGAATCAAGCACTGTCGTTTGTAGTTCGAGGACTGCAAATGGTTTTTGAACGAAGGGTTCAACTCAACATTTTGTTTGTCTTGGGCCCAGGCAGTTCTTCCCCCAGTCAGCACCCTGCCTTTTTGCATTCATCAAGTTGTGGTCGCTTCCACGCAGCACATCGGTAACAAAAGACCAAAAAACACATTTTGTTGTCGGCAGTGATTTGACTTGATTAGACGTGCCAACGCACCAGGACTTGCCACACAGCCAACCTGGACAGGGATACACTGGCCGCACCAGCGCATTTCAGAGCTTCGAACGCGATTGATGTTGTCCAGGGTCAGGCCAATGCAATTCCAATCACGCTATCATGGGGAGCGTATAATTCAACATTGAAGAAGGGCGTTCTACAACATGTTTTGGATTTCTGCGCGCGACCAGTCAATAACCAAATTTGAACTTGAGAAGTTTGACATTTCGCAGTGTGCCAGGACACTCCTTCAATGATGACAACCATTGTGATTTGACGCCCATGCTGGGGGATGTGGGTTGCTTAACGGTGCTCATCACTCATGTTGGCATAACAAAGCACCCTGCGAAAGAGATTTCAAGTTTCCTGCAATTAGACTGTTTGGAAGAGTGCAGTTGTAGGCGTCGCACACCCACATGTCCGAAGCAACATAGCACGGCAATTCACAACAAGGTCGCCCACAACCTCCACGGCGGGGAGATCCGCGGAATTGCGATGGGAAATCGATTAGGCGAGCGGCCAGGAAATTGTATTTTTTCTCCTCTCTCTCTCCTCTCTCTCCTCTCTCTCTAGTTGTGAAGGTCAGGTCAGGACTTGTTGGTGCTCCCTGATTTTCAATGCATTTGATGCCTGAAATTAACAGCTCAGAGCGCAATGTTGAACAATCTTGGCAGGTCCGGGTATTGAGATTGCTAGCTTGCCAGAGTTAGGGCCCGGAGGTTCTTGGAGCCGGGGCTCATAGATCGGCCAGGAAGGTCCTGCGGGGTGGAATCTCTGAACTCGAATTATCAAATCTTCTGGAATCATATAATTTGTATAAAATCATACCGAGATCATAAATATTCTGTGGAACTTGCACTTTTGTGCAGAGAATGCCGAGAATGCCGATTGTTGAGGCGAACTGTTGGGGCGACCAGGCCGCCTTGCCAAGTTGTGCTTCGCCCAGGCACCTGCACGAATGGCTGCCACCTGGATCCACCTCAGGCAGTGCTTGCTGATTGACTTCTTTTTGAGCGTTCCTGCAACGGACAAGGCCTTTATAAGGACCGTTTGTCCTTAACTCGCTTCTTTGCAAGGACGTGGCTCACGTGCAATTTAGGCGCATTCTTGGAGCCGGGAGTTCGGAGTTTAAGGACGGTGGCACCTCTCATTTGATGAGCTGCGCCCATCAAGTCCTTTGGACAAAGCAGGCGACATACAAGACATTGTGGAGATGAGATAGATATTTGGTCCCACAACACGGATTGGGATTCAACCTAGTATGGAGAGGGGTGCCACTCCGTTCGGAGAGGGGGAGAGAGGGAGACAGAAAGAGAGAGAGAGAGAGGCATGTACATTAGATTTGATAGGAATCATGCTATAGTATTGAAAGGCTGAGACGATACCACAAGGCAAACTATTTTAGACCAGGGAAGGTAAGATGTGTTTGCTTGATGAGGCGCACTCTATGCTCCAAAATGATATTGGTTTGTTCATGAACTGCTGGACCAAGCGACCACCTGGCCTTGCCAGGTCGCGCATTGCCTTCAAATTGGTTTGGGCACCACCGGACTTCAACAGCTTTGTCCTGGTGGATGATGGCGGGGACCTTGACATTGTGCATCCTTAGACAGGAGGATCGGGTAATCGGTTTCCTCTTTTTTAGCCAGTGGCATTGCCCAGATATTTGGATTTGTTCGCCGAGATACGTTCTAAAGCCGAGCTTTGGACAGGTGGTGAACTCTTGAACCAAGGGCGTCCCAAAGGCGTCAGGGCCCAAGTCGAGCGCAGCACTGATTTCCCGGGGTCTCCATCCAAAACAACATTGCAATCACAGTTAAGTTTCCAACATTTTCCAACCGTTATAAGTTATAATTTATATTTCCAAGCCTCCCAAGGCTTTCAATGTCCTGGCTTTCCAAGGACTTGCCAGACCTGCGTATGCGCCGTGGCAACTATGCGCTGGTGAAGGGCAGCAAGTGCCCCTATCTGACAATTTGACAAGTGGCACCACCCTATGCTTGCAGAAGGACCCCTTTTCGAACTGTATGTTCAAGATGCTATGACGCGACAGCCGACAGCATGAAGCTTAAACAGCTGCAATTTGTGGACCTCGCAGATGCTTCTTCGCGGCCCTGTAGTCTACAGTACCTATCACTGATGACACCAAGATGTCCACGCCAGGTATGCGCGAGAAGCTGATCGGTTGTTTGAGAAAGTCTCTGGTGGATGATTTCAATCCCAATTGACCCACCTTGTAAATGCATCGACTCTCGATCCAACCAGGCCAAAGGCCCAAGGAGAAGAAAAACACTTCTGGGTCTCTTCGGCAGTTGGGTCGGAAGCGAAGAACGATTTTCAGCCAGTTGGCTTCAGACCCTGCGTTCCTGCGCGATACAAGAGGGGTGAAGAGGAGAAACAGACCACACACTGGCCGGACAGCCGGATGGCACTCCTTTTGTGAAGCCTTTTTTTTTATTTCCTTCGAGATTTCATGTAGCGAGCTTCCAAAGTGAAACCGTTGCTGGCATGACCGGAGACATTGCACTTTTCTGCTCCCAGCTTTGTGGTGCTTTCTGGCCAATTCGATGTGTGATCGTCTCCATGAGCAAGCCTTTATTTATGGTCACACTTTGTGAGAATTTATTCAAGTTCAAAGGCACAGCTGCACAACTGGAACTGGAAACAACATGAAATAACTGGAATCAACATACTGTACAGACATCGCAAACTAACATCATCTAACATCTCAGATGAAGATTGAACGACGCCTTTCTTCTTACCATCTTCTTACCAAACTTTTAGTGGTGTCACAGCCCGACTGGGCCAGCCGAGATGCAGCGAGCTTCTCCCATCTGTGGGAGACTCGAGAGGTTTCACGAGATGAATTACAGGATAGGCGATTGCCGATGTCGATCACTTGCAATCATGCCATTAGCTACTAGGAACAAGTGCATCGCTACTAGTAACAAGTGCCTTACTAGTAGTAACAAGAAGCTATTAGAAACAATAAGCTAATAGCTTCTTGTTACTACTAGTGAGGCACTTGTTCCTAGTAGTATAGATATGTCGATCACTTGCAATCAGATTTTTCACTGAGGTTCAGCCTGTCATGATTGACGACATCGACACTTCACTCCAAACACAGGCCAGCTCGACTCTTCCAAGCAAAGGATTTTGACTGACTAAAGGATTATTTGAAGGTACAAATATGTACAAATGCAGAATATAGCCATATTCAGGGGCTATGAGTCTGCGAGTCGGTTGATTTGGTTTGCTTCTTTCCATGACGACTTGCACTCGTCTGCAGAACCCAAGTCACTAGTCTTTTCTTTTAAACTCGACATGTACAACCTTCACAGCCGCCAGACAATCTGCTTTTTGAAAGATTCGCGAGGCAGCTCCAGAACACAACATGTTTTGGGAGACCCTCATTGAAGATCTGTGTATTCCACCATAAGCTGCTCTGTTATGGCATATGGTTTTTGATTGTTTTGCGCCAATGCTAGAATAGGTGTCTATTGATGCAAAGGACCATCCCTGAACCTTGGAATGGGATACAAGCCTGCACAACCGGTAGAGACAACCGATTATTGTGGTGTGTATGAATTTGTGCAGGACAGCAAGTCTGAGGGCCCAAATCCACTTGTCCAGAATGCTTCATTGATCTCAGAACCAACAACTGGCGACGCCGCAGAAGTTTGTCGTGTGCTTGGGGATGGATGTGGATGTTCAGGCAGTTTTCCGCGCCGAATTGCCGCAAGTTAGCATTTGGGGTTTCAAGTTTCAGTGTTTATTTTTTATTTTGCAGTTTTCGTTTTCATCATTGATTCACCAATTCACTATACAAAAGCATTCATTCACATTCATATTCGTGTCCGATCTGTTCCTTGTCAATGCAGTTGCTGTGTGCTGACATTGATTCCTTCTTGTATCAACTCCCAAAAGCAACAGGGTACAGCTGACATTCTACGATCTGACCTTTCCACTTCACATCACTACTATCCCCATTGACTTCCCATCCTGAAGATTAGCTGCCTCGATGCAACTATACTGTAGATTCACTAGATGTGTTCCGCTTAGGTCCAGAACCGTTAATAAACAAATGCGGAGATTTGGCAATAGACGAACAATGAAACACACAGAATCACGGACGACTAATGCCGCAACATGATTCATCGCGCTTGTGTGTTTGAATCCTGTGAATGCATCCGTGAGATGGCATCTAGACCAGAAAGTAAGGGATCGATATCTGCACATGCCAAACCCGACAAAGCTGTTTAGGGTTTTGCGCTGCCGTGTGGCACCCTCAAGGTTTCAGTCTTTCAGGATGTTGCAGGAATATTAGGCCATATTGACCACTGAGGTCTTGGACCAAGATGCGAAGGAAGGCATTGCTTATGCCATGGCCTCAACAAATTTCTCAACTTGTCTTAAAATGTTTGACATCTGTACATTCATTCAACAACAATATTGTATAAATATATACTGTATATATATAATATATATATATATATGATTGGAGTGAAGGCAGCCACAGCATGTCAGATAGCGACGGATAGACTCTTTTCAGTAGCCTGTTGGCTCCTCTGTGTCGAAACCGCCTCGTGTGAGTTTTGTGTTCTAATTTATAGGGCCCTTGACCACGACATAGGGATCGCTGCAGCGACGCGACTGGGGACTCAGAGGACGGGTTTTCGTGGCACTGGTCTTATGCCGCGACTAGCGCCCAGGTGTCGAAACTCTTCACCAATGATCGTTTGTCCAGAGAGGCCTGAGCCAGGAGATGCCAGGAGTCAAAACGTGGGTATCTCGTATTGATAATCTTGATATCTCGCATCCAAATTGAATGTGCAGAGGATTTGAACTGGATCTTGCAACTGGATCAGTTCATTTTTCGAGCGGCTACGTGTAGCAACAGCGTGGAAGCACTGGCAAAAGGAAGGCCCTTGCAAGAAAGGCCTGGAAGCCAGCCAGGCGTTCACCTTCCTTGCTCCAGAGAACTCCTCTGAGGACGTGGCCAGACCAGCTCAGAACGGGCGGGGGGAAGGAGATGCTTGGATTTTTCAGAGACTGGAACATCGCATGATATGAACTACTATATAACTAGTAGGAACACCTGGTATGGATTTGAAGTAACGCTTGGCACCCAGAGGCCGTAGACATACTTGCCTCTCCCAAACGTAGCTCATCAACCGACCGTCATCACCGCCATGTTTGGGCTACAGCACTCAAGCCTCAGGCAACCGCTCCTGGGCTGAGAAAACTTACGCCTCCAACTAGTTCGGTAGCGCACGTGAGGTGCTTCACCTCGCTATCCATGTTAATACCATTGAATGCCGATGCAGCTCCTGGATTGGTTCCAGACGTTGTAAAGACATCACATATTTATGGTTGGTATTTGGTGGCAATTCTGCTGTCCTGCTTGTCGCTTGGTGAGATTGTTAGTGGGGACGCCTTTGCAGGCATGATTTTTGCCATCATGACTGGTATTGTGGTCTACATGCTGCAAGATGGCTGCAAAAACATGACCATGTACTGCCTCTTCATGCTGGGTATGATGTCCGTCTTCCAGTGCTTTTTCGATGTCTTGGGCCTCCTTTCATCCCTGGGCGGCCGCGAGACGACTCAATCCACGGTGCACGGGAATGATGAAGATGTGACAGTGGTCACGAGGATCACGATGCATCCCTTCTTCGACCAGAAAATGGGTGAGGAGTACAACCTGCAGTCTGCCTTGATGTTGATGAGCCCGGCCATCATGGCGATGTGTAGCACCATGTGCTCCTTGGCAAGTGTTAGAATAGTTGGGACATTATCTTTGCTAAGGTTTGGAAGTGTTTGGAGTGGGACTTTGGACATTCTCAGTTATATAAGTTTTATAAGATACATTGTAAATCTGACGACTTCCCCTGGTTGCCTTCTTCAATCCCACTCAAGCTTCGTGTGTCGATTCCCGCCTCCTTTGAAATGAGGCTACGTGTCCTACAATGCTTTCTCAGAGTCGCTATTTGATATGGAAGACGAGTCCGACCCGATCTATGCAAGAGGCTTTGCTGCAGGAGCAGGCAGGGTTTGGGTAAGGCAATCTAGTCTTCGTCAAGTCGCAATGACGTTGCTCCTTTTTATGCCATGTATGCCTCATGCGTTTGTTTGGATGGCCATGGGAAGATATTTGAGAGGGTTCATTTTGCCACATGATGAGAACTTGCAGCTGCGCCTGTGGCCTGTTCGCATGCTGTTTGCATGCTGCCAGGGCAACCTCACTCCTATGGTGTTCAGTCGCCTGATTCATCCAGGAGTGGCAGGGTTTCAGTGGGAAGGGGAACCTTTGCGAAGGGTTTCCTGACATGCCAAGGCGTGGTAACAGCCCGTCTAGTCCAAATAGTTACGTTCGATTGCCCGAAAGAGCTTTGTCTGACAGAGCACGCTTTCAACAAACATGGTGCCCATGACGTTGAACATGTTTCCAACATGCTGTTGCTAGAGTAAATTCATTTGCTGTACTACTAGGAGCAAGAAGCTACTAGGAACACAGGTAAATTCTCTTCCAAACTCGGTTGGGGGGAGGCCTCAGCAACCTGATGCCAGGAGAGTGCCCACGAGAGCTTTTGAGGTGGGGAGTCATGTCGACCTTTACTGACTGGATAACTTGCGCTTGGGAGTTGGTTGGAGGTTTCAACTGGGTGACTATATCGCTACGGTATAATATTTCCCTCAAGACTTGTATTAGAATAGGGGGGAGCATCGCTGATTGATCCAAGCTGGATCAAGCTATGCCATCTTTGTTTTCTAAACTAATTATCTTGGCAACCAACCCTTGACCAGTAAAGAAGGTAGCGTTTTGTCGAACATGACTCAGGGAGCTGGGCATCGGCTATCGGGTTGACAAGATGGCCAAGAGGAATGCTGCGGCGTGGATCAGAACGAAGTGAGCTGGGGCATTGGTACGTGCCCAACTGGTTGTAGATCCTCCTGCTGCCACATCTATCATACTAAAGCATGGCACAGCTTGGATGTGGTATTGAGGATCTGCATGAGCTGTCTACCTAGCTTGCTGCACTAGACTAGAACGGTTTGACAGACTCACGTAAAGCCTATGCTTTGATGGACCAGTCTTTGCTTTCAGCTCGGACACGGTGCAATGTCAAGCCAAGTACAAGAGAGAGAGAGAGAGATAGTCAGGGATGCTTCGACTCGTCAGCCCACGGCCCACACCGCTCGTTTCAGAAAAGCTGATGCTGCGTGAGATTGAGAGTTTAGCTTCATAACCTTAAGAGTCCATAAGAGTCCACCATTTTTGTGTTAGGCACAACTCCACACTTTCGAAAGTCTAGAGTGTCACATTTATGTTTTGACATCCAGTCATTACTACTGCTGTACTGCTGCCTTTAATAACTTTATACCATGGAAAGTTCCATTTTGTTCGACTTTGCTGCGGGGCATCGATCACAAGATGTCACAAGGCCTGTGACTGACACCAACCATCGCTCATTTAGGGGAGTGTTCTCAAAGGCCGGTAGAGCAGCTCCACAGCTCCCCTCCGAAGATGCTGATGTGCTAAGACCAGATCCGGATCCCAAAGCAGTTAGAACAAAGCATGATGGATTTCCATGGATTTCCATGATGCACATTCTTTGGACCTTGGGAGACCTCTATTGTTTTCTGATGCGTGTGATGAATCTGTCATAAAACAAAAAAAAATATATATATGATTATATATATATATATCCTTGTAGCTTAGCATCGGCCACCCAGATCATCATGGACGGTGAGACCGTTGGCCGATGGATCCTCGAAGTGGGTCATCGGCTTTTTGAGGAGGCCGCGTATTTTCGTTTCTGTGGGTGGCACATGGTGGAGGAACCGTTCAATTCCTAGTCCAAACAAAGGGCTGTTTGTATGGTAGATCAATGTATATGATTAATGTAAAAGCCACCAGAGGCAGTCGTGCCGTAACATCACGGCAGCCAAGGCCTCGCGGAGAAGTTCCATCTAGCAGAATCTAGCACGCTTGTAGACTTGGGATCATGAGATCCATGAGCAGCTCTTTAGGCAACTCATGTGATCATGTGTCTGGCCAAGGGATCGCTTCCTGGCTTGCCTTCTTGGGAGCAGGAGGACTCGGTGATGGATGTTGTACCTGTCAATGGGACGTGCTTAGCATAGGAAGAGATTGTCATGCCAGCATCACTACCAACACTGAGTTTCAACGTTCATGCCATGCAAGGAGTCGCCTGAGTTGCGAGTTTCATTGAAAGCTTGGTTTGGGCACCCCAGAGTCATTTGCCAGTAGTAGTTGTCTTTTTTCATATGTGATCGAATTGGACTTTCACTGCAATTCGTTGAAATTCAATATATTTAGACAACATATATACGTCAAAGAACATCAACTTCATCATTTCAATATCGGTATATATACTTTGTTTCAACCGCTCATTTCCAAATGTCCCTCAACCAAGGGAAGATGCTTTGTCTGTGCCAATGGGCCCCAACTTTGCTGAGCTCGTGGAGAAGGCTTTCAAGTCCATGGGCCCAGAGCCAACAGACTCAAAGAGATGTATGGGCCATGCTGGAAGAAGCGGATGACGTATTGGTTAGATAATTATATGTATTTTCCGCACAATATCTGGAGGCATCAAAAAAGACTGTGCGGACATGTTACAATTATGGCAAAAAGAGCAAAACGATGCTGAGCTAAACATGTACAGTAAGGGCGAGGAAACATCGCATGCCCACCAGCATGCAGTACAACACACGACTGTTTGCACTCTAAGGGGCTCCCTGCAATAGCAGACCGTACAGAGACAGATGATTATTGTGAGAGCTGGCCATTGAAGTACAATAATTTTCTAATAGCTTCTTGTTACTACTGGCGATGCACTTGTCACTACTAGTATAGTCAATACTGAAACACCTTGCAACATGGCCGTCCTTTGAGGCAAGCAGAAGCCGGCTTCTTCCAGCTTGGAAGGTGGAAGCATGGCCGGTTACTGGTTGTTTGGGAACAGATCACAGTTTCGATCCAGAGCCTCGAACGGATGCTTCTTACGGACCGCGCCGCGGTCACGCGGCGAGCTATTCGCCCACACCGGAGAGCTATCTGCTGAACCCAGCTACAGCCTTTCAACTATTGTGCTGTTTTCTTTGCTTACCTAGTTTGCCGTGGTATCAGCAGGGCAGTTGTACAGTATACTATAGACTATAGTTGTACTGTTGTCCCACCGTCCTGGCGCTACCTGGCTAATACGAACCACTAGCCAGATGTTTGTTTATGCCGGTCCTACCTGGCTATTTTTGACCAAATCTTCAAAACCCCACAGCTTGTTTTCTTTTCTTGTTAAACTGTTTCAAGATTTTCAAGAACGCCTCAAAAAATTGTGTGCACCAAAACCTTCATCAAATGCCGTTATTTACAACGTTGTTTGCACTCGACTTTCAACAACCTTGAAAAACTCAGGTTTCTTGCCCGACAATGGGCCCCCCAGCTAAAGCTGAAATCTTGCGATTGACTCTGCCATCCAGATACACACGCCCCAGCACCTTCGGTGCGGGCGGAATTCTGATTTCAGCGAGTAGGTAGCTCCGTTTCATGCATCCACAATGTAAACGCGATTGCCAAAAGTATCTGAAAAGCATCTGCTTGAACAAAACCCTGCAAACCGATAAGGTCCCCCCCAAAACCGATAACGATGAAAAACCTCCTTAGCATAAGTATATAATTGATTTTGACCGTGGCTCATATGAGAATTTGCTCTTCTCATCCAAGCAAAACAAAACATTTGGTTGTCGGGACAGTTTGGGTATTTCAGGTTCAGGAAGATGTTGTTCAGACTATGCATGGCTATGCCAGTGGCTATGCTGTGTCATGCCACAGGTTGGCACCACGACTCGCTGCCTTAAGATGGCTCGGACCTCAGGATCTTTTCTCAACTGATGTCACAGTCATGTCCTTGATCGGTACCTTCATATTCATATAGTTGATCAGTTGATCCTCAATCTGTAACAGGAGAGCTGCTTGGATCCAACTCCAATTCAAAAAGATATACATCAAGGTCTGTCCGGGAGGCTGCAACCGTTTCTGAACAGGTGCAGCTGCATGGCGTGGGTGCGGTTCCGAACCCTGGCTGTCATGGAGGCAGGTCATTTTCGGCTTTCGCATGTTTGGATAAGCTGCCTCCTGGACCCACTCAATTACATTGATTCACCATTTTGTCACAATGAATTATCCATGATGTACTCCATTTGATCGCCATGTTGTTTGTCAATTTTGGTGAAGCAACCCATCTTTGCTCCAGCATGGTAGCTTTGCCTTGAGGCATCCTCCGGAGGTTTGGCCCTTGAACACAATACATTTTGGTGGAACCGGTGCACCTGCTCTCGGAGAGTGCCTTTTTTCATTTCTACTTGGCTACCTTTGCCATGTTAAAGAATGCATAAACAATGTATTCAATTGACGAGCCATGGACTTGTTTGTTCCGAGGTGGCAACTGTAGCATTCCGCAGGGCGCTGCATCCAGAGACGCTTGTGAGCAGGTGAGGTTTGTGAGCGAGCTGTGTGTTGGGAACGGAGTTGGTTTGCCGTGTGGGAACAGAGACAGCAGGGTCAGCAATTAAAGAATATTGTATGTTGAACAATTGCGCACCTCAGTGATACTAGATACACATCCTGTTTCTGTTGCGTTGACATGGGTTGTGTTTTGACATCTCCTTCGTCCCTGCAAAAGCAGGTTCGTCCCTGCTGAAACTGCAGCAACCCGTACCTTGTTCCCAAATCACCCATGTCCACATGCCTCTGGAGTTCGGCATTCCAGGCATGGCATGTTTAAGCCTCCAGAGCTGAAAGAATTCCCTCGTTACTTGATCAAAGTTCCACAGACCAAAATTGCTAGACAGACAAACACCAAACTACTAGTTACTAGTGGTTCTGGATGGACTCGAATTGCTTCTAGTAGCAAGGACGCTACTAGGAACAAAGGACACCGCTACTGGGGTGTTTCTAGCATTACTTCCAGCACTTGAAGCATTTAGAGGTGTGATCTCATTCGACTCCAGTCCAGGCAAAGCGTTTCATCTTCAAAGCCTTGGACAGCGTGGTCTCGGAGCGGGAGGGAGTGACCGAAGGTGTCATGTATTCATTGAGTAGCTTAGCAAGAAGGCGCTTCGAGTATGCTGACTTGAGCGCTCAGCGTTGAGATAGGTGTTGATGCCCAAACCTGCCAAACCGTCCAGGAACCCAAAGTGCGGGTTCTCTTCGACTATGACTTGGTGGGCGAAGGAGTCCGGTGCTAAAATCATCAACACATATCCATATCAACACAAGATTATATATATATAATCACTTCACCAATATTTTGCTTCCATAGAGATTTGATGTCTGGATGATATCCATGTTTAGAGATGTGGCAAGGATGCGCATGAGGAATAAAAATACTTACAATGCTTCTGACGGACAGATTTTCGAACCAGGTATGGCATGGAGGGGGGCAAAGAACCATTGCCGGAAGAGAGCGAAGATGAGTGGTGGGGTCACACAGACCGTTGCGTGTTCTTTAAATGTTGAAGTTGGGAGTACAAACCACTTCTGGGGGTCCATCTTGAACATGTGATATAGGCTACAGGATGATTCCAGTTGACCAATTGTTTTTTTGCAGTGTAATTTGGCTGCAACTTTCCTTCCATCCTTCTTCCAATTATATATATATACACAACCATGACAGTGCATACTTGTGTGCTTTGGTGTACGTGCTGGCCTAGCTGTTAGCTCTCAAAATGCTCAAGGGCCCGAGGGAGTACCGAGCACATTGACAATTGGCAAACAAAGCCTACAATTTCTAAGATTTTCCAAGATGTTTCTACTGCCGACGGTCATCGTGCCAATCGTTGATGGTCTTTCCACATCACTTCCACCAAGGCATCGACGTTCGTGCGAGTTTGACATTTGCCGCATAGCTCACCAGGCGGGAGAAGTTTGTCAGAAAGTCAACCTGCAGAGTTTGGCCCCGGATTTCCATCGTCCGTATTCTAGGCCACTGGATATTTGGCTCCAGTACCATAGAATAATAATGCGGCTTTGCCGAGGCTGCGTTTGCTTGTGCAGATTTGTGAATGCAGCTCATGTAACGAAACGCGAACACCACCAACCTTCATATATCGCCCTCATCATCCCTCAAGAGAGCGCTCCCCCAGAGCTCAGACAGTTGCAGAGAAGCTGACACTGTGCCTACGGGTCATCGAGATCCTTCCACCCCTCAAGCCCCGATCCCGCAGCATCCAACAAGCATTTGCACAATGACCCGCGCCCATGCCAGCAGGGCCAGCAACTTACAGCCCCAACAACCGGAGCTCCTCCTTTCCACACCCGGCCGACCATTACCAGCATTTGAGGGTCGCTAATTTCGTGTCAAGGTTGTGCTTGTCTTCCTGCATGGCATAGCTTGCGTTTGCCATGTGCGCACAGGTGGAGCGAGCCCCACCGGTGGATGTCAATGCATCCATGCCGAGGCTTTTGGTGATGCAACCGTTCGGTGTCTTGGCCCCAAAAGTAAAGAGTAACGATTGGATGTTTGAAACAGCTACAGTATCTTTCACCGCACAGGCGTAGTCTCAGTCTTTTTGGTTTTCCACTTGTTGCAGGAGCAGCTCAATTTGACTAGCTCACGAGGTGATTGCCACCCTAAACTAATATAAACTAATCATTCCAGAGGGTGCAGTGGACATTGCCATAGCCAGACTGTTCGAAAGTGCGTCACTGGCCTGATGCATTCACAGTGATGTTTGGCACCAAAGGTACGCCGCACAAGCGTCTTCGGCTTGCGGAAGTACTTGTCCTCAGATTCCTCAATAGTGACTATAGTGGTGATGACAATGCTGCAGCAAAGAATGTGCAGAGGCATGAAGTATGAAGGAAGTACAGTATGTGTCAAGGCAAATGTCAAGTGTTTCTTGCAAACATATCGTCCATCGCGTGCTACTAGAATCGCTTCTCGTGCTGCGCTGATTACCTACAATAACCACCAATGTCAGTGACAGAGGCTATGGATGATATACGCAGTGTGCTTTTGATAGCTCTGGCTGTTCTCAGGTAGAGCCACTTGTGGAAATCGTACATCGACCCCTTGAACTCATGATGTTCAATGATGTTCCTAGTAGCTTCTTGTTACTACTAGGAAGGCACTTGCTCCTAGTAGCGATGCACTTGTTCCTAGTAGCTTCTTGGTTTCAGATGGTTTCTTGCCTTGAAACGTACAAATCATGAGTGTCATCGCTTCTAGGTCGGAGGCCATCGCTAGTAAGGTGGAGGCCATCACTAGTAGGGTGGAGGCCAACGCTTCTAGGTTGGAGGCCATTTGAGTGTTTCATTTCCTCAGCAAGTTACTTCAGCCTGTCACTGGAGGTCCCCCGAATGATCCTCGACAGAAACAAGTGGTACACGGAGGTGGTCTGGCAGCTAACTCCTAGAGGATGGACATGTCTCGGGATTGGCCTTTACAGCTTCACCCCTAGATCAGAGAGTACTCCAACTCCAATGTGCAAGAGATTTATGTACTTTTCCTGCAGTTAGTCTGAACTCAACAGAGGTGCTTTGCAGTTGTTTGACGTTGCAAACGTTTTATGTCTTTTTAGATTTGAGAGGTTTCCAAATGTTTAGTTCACTAATATGCACAGCAAGAGAACACTTGCGACAGCTACACTTGTCTTGTTCATCGCGTTTTATGCTGCGCTGTCGAATTGCCGGGCAATTAGTGTAGTTTGTATATAAATTGAAACATTAATTTTGGTTCTAGCCCTATCAAAGGGTTGGAGAGTGAACGGAATGCGCTGCCAATCAGCAGCCCTTATAGTACCGATTTGTTCTTTGCTTTTTTTAGATCCAGCGTGCACGTTGCAAATATATCAAATGCAAAGCCTTGTGCAATCCTTGCAGCCGTCACAGGTTGCTAATATGCCGCTCCTGAACCTGTGTTCCAAATCGGCTGTGGTAGGGCGTTGCTCTTAGACTTTAGTACGGCCTAGAGCGGCTATGGGAAGCAGTGTTCTGGGGTAGGAAGGTAAGGTAAATGATCATGATCTGACTGGTCCTGCCTATCGGTTCTTCAGTTCTTCAGGGTTTCCGTGTTCGTGAATAACACAGACATGAGCCCTTGCCGCCATTTTTTTCCACCTCCCTGGACACAAGGCCAATCCTTCATATGGAAGTGCCTCCTCCGCCGCACAGCTGAATTTGGGTGGCAGATATGTCGGTGATGTGAGGTAGCCTGTGCAGCCAAAACGTCGCACGAAGCGAGACTTGTGATTTTGTTGCTTGTGAAGTTACGATGCCATTCCGAGGCCCGATTTTGACTTAGAGGATCCTGAGGCCATTTTGAGCAATGGCTGCAAAGGTCATCAGACAATTCCTTCTGCCCAAGACCAGTTTCATCTGATAGAATAGACGTCCAAAATGGTGTGCATCTAGGAAATTTAGGAGTCTAGGGATGCTTTGCCACTACGACCTTCACTTGCTTTATCCTCAAGACTGACCATCAATGTACACATATAAGTCATAAGATAAAAGACAGTAAAAACTGTTGGGCAGAAACTGAAACATGAAAGTCTCAAGTCTGAAATGCACCTTTCTGGTCACTTCCAGGTTCGCAGCAAAGTTGAACGGGGCGAAGACTTGGGCAAAGCTGAACAGGAGGACACCAGAGATGGACGGATAGGAACGACAAGCCTTACCTTCTATACAAATCAGCTTGTTTGCTAAGTCTGACGTTGCTCATCGTCCTTGTTTGGGCCATTCTCGCAGGATGGCCTTCCGGGTGCTCTTCATGGTAGTGTTGGGCCGGGCAGCCCAAGAGTGCACATTGGGTTCTTTCTTAGATTAATGGTGAAGAAGATGGCAAAACTTCAGGGAAAGGTCCAAAGAACACCCTTCACGACACACAAGACGCAGAACACATGCTCCTTTGGACTTTGTGGACAGAACAGCGGCCTCTTTAGTGATAGACCTAGTAACTTAGTGACTCTACTGCAGCATAGAAACTTATATATCTCGTGTGTTCAGAGCAGCCGTTGTTTGTGGACTAGGCTTGGGACATGATAGATAGCTGCAGATCTTCATTCTGTACAATGTTTCTGCGATTCAGAGATGGCGGCGCCGTCTTACCCGCATTCTGACCTAGCTAGGAAGTACTGCAAAGAACTTAGAACTCACAAAGGTTTGAGGGTCAAGCAGCCAAGCACCTTGTAAGCCATCCTTAGACTTACCATGACGTACCCAAAAATCCTCTTATGAAACGCACCGGACAGTTTTGGGGAGGTTCCTCCGAGAGAATTAGCTGCTCTATGCTGTATTTACTGGAGCTATGACGGGCTATGGCTAGGGCGTGTCACACGGTGTGTCCTATCACCTGTAACAGTCGGGCAAAGACTGTCACTACTTTTGAGAAAGGCCTTTACTAACCATCATCATCCTTTGTTGCAGGGAATGGGATATACCTAAGCTATGGCACGATCTATATTCAGTTGCTTGATCTCACTTGAAGCAGGCGATGTCAGACGAAGCGCCTTTTGTGAATTTGTCTCCAAACGTAGACATGTATGTCCTCTCTCAGCTTGGGCGTTACTAGTAGAGTAGCGTCCTTGCTCCTAGTAGTAATGCCAGGAGCTACTAGTAGCTTCTTGCTCCTGTAGCCATGCCCTTTGATGCTAGTAGCGTCCTTGCGTAAGTGCGATCACAAAACCCAAAGAGACTTGTGGTGACTTTGGTAGCTTCCCTTTTGGAATCAGGCTGCTGTATGCTGCATTGGCATTTGAGGAGCTGACTGTCCATGGGAGCGCTCACATGTTGGAACTTGACAGGATGCGCATCGTGGTGAAATCATTTGACATCTACAGTCTTGTGCAAGATCCACAGCTTTAAACAATTGTGTTGGAGAGACCTTGGACCTTTGACTTCAGTCCAGGTTCATTTTTACTAAAATACTATCAACATACTATATTACTATATCTATATAATATACTACAATTATATATGTATTATGTTTCACAAGTTTTGGTCCAGGAAGAAATCGTCAATGTCTGAGCCTCAATGAATAGCGGCGTATGCGTGGGAGCCGAACCTCTCCAGTTCAGCCGATGTGAAGGTGATTATTGTGATTCGATCCCAAGCGCATAGTGGGTGTTAGCGGGTTGAAGATGGCGCCTACCCTCAATAAGGTTGATTGTTTCAGATCAGGTTGAACTGAACAACAGCAGTATTTCGGAACGGAACCATTTCGCATACGTCCGACACTTGCAGCTGGGTCGCGCTGGGCCCAGGTGCATTTTCATCCTGGGTCACTTTTGCTGGAAGGTCTGATGGAGGCAAGGCTGATGGGCTACTTAGCTGGTTCCGGTTCAGCACTTCGCTTCACATCAAGAAGCAGAACATGGCTTGCCACAGATCTTAGTCGCCCATTCAGCAAATGCAAACGACCCCGATCTTATCAGAAGGTTTGCTTTGACCCCCCCACTGTTCAATGCTGTTGCCCCTTATTTCGGTTGTCGATCAATCCTCAAGTATTCAACAGGATTTAGCTAGTGTTTGACATCTACTTGCATCCAATTGTTTCACACATATCCGTTTGATCCAACTTGAGCTTGTGTGTTTTCAATCATGGCGTTGCACAGTTGGGACCCCTCAGCCCTCAGAACGAATTGGTTGGCAAACAGTACCCACACAAAGAGACACTGAACTTAACATTGCTGTTACAATAGAACGGGGTGACAGCAGACACATGCAGATTGTAGATACTTGACCATCCTGACGTATGTTGTGCTTGACCATCTTCGCCCTCTTTCTCCAGATGTTTGTACACTATGGGCCGAAGCTACGGACGATCAGCCTTGCTGGCAATGCTGGCTTCGTGAATGAGGTGCCTAGAGCAAGCCGATTGAGTGCATGCCGATTTAGAGAACGCAAGCTGATTTGTAGATACGCCATGGATTGAACACGATTAATTGGAGTGGAACCTGGCGACCATCCGCTTGGTTGATGCAGAGTCGAGATCAGTGCTATTAAGAAAGGCTGGCAAAGCCGGTGACCACAGAAGCCTTTGATGCCCAAGTGCCTTCAGTATCCGCGACTGTTCTTGGAAAGTCAGTTGTGCACAGCAGCCCAGCCATCTTGCGCTCTGGACACAAAGCTCAGCAGGATTCGCTTTCCCTCCTCACGCTGGCAAGAGACTTAGCTTTTGCAAGTCAAGATCCATGTGTATTCCCTAAGACACCCAAAGCATAGAAACGCATGCACACAGAGGAGGAATGCAAACTTACCTGTTTCAAATATAGGATATAATCAGCTTCATTGGTCCTGTTGTTGGCAATTGTGTGCTTTGGGACTTGTTGCAAGCGCGCAATGTGCCAGTGGTGTCATGCACGGCTTGTTTCCGCTCAATTGACACAATTGCTATCAATTGCTGGTTTCTATCAGTGTTGAGGCTGGGGACACAGTGAAGACGCTTGATTTGGAAGGCTGCGACCTTGACCCAAGCTACTTGGAGGTGGGGATTCCAAGGAATTTAGCCTGTTTCTCGTACCCAAGGAAGAAATGCAAAGATTCAGCAACCGGTGCAACGGTTGACGTGAAGAGATCAAGGACACCTCTTTGGCCTTAGGGATTGGAATCCGCGACGCACCAAAGCTTGACCCGTCCTGGCAGGGCATCCTCAATACGGTGAAGAGCTTAAGAGCCCTCCAAGTCCTGGATCTTGCAGGCGTTGGACTTACAGAGCATACTCTCCGCCGTCGAACACTAGTTTTTTGTTTTTCAAGCACTCTCTCCAACTGGTTGAGTGCTGTTTGGTTGATGCTTGATGTGGGTGGGAGTGAGGTGCCTTGAAAACATGCCCCGGGCATGCTTTTGGACTAGCCATGTATGCGTTTGGCTATGTTTGGCTCGTGAAAACATCGAAGCAAGTCGTAGGCTGGTAGGCCAACTAATCGCTCCTCGGCGGAATGTTCTCAGATGTTCTCAGTACCCTGTCAGGGAACAAACTGGATGGGCCGACAGCCTTAAATTTGGTCGCAGCGCTATGTGACAATCGCATTGACCTCGACATACTTCGACACTTGGCATGAATGATGTGTTGGTTGTCAACTGAGTTGCACCTAAAAGGGGACATGTGGCCTCAATACGAGGCATGCACTTACATACTCTTTTTTAAAATACAACTGCTGTTGCACTTGAAACAAGCTAATACTATATATATATATATAGATTGTAGAACTTCTGCGACATACGTAACTTACCTATCAGAGTGCAACCTTGTTTTCCGCGCACTGAGACGTGTAGGCGAGCATACAAACCCCGTTTTTGAGTTGGTCGACCGGCCACCGTTGGTCGTCCGGGCTATTCGCGGTCAGTCAATTGGGGTTGCTCAAGAAGTTGGGCAACGTTTCTGTTGGCGGTTGTTTCATCCTCCGCATTTTCTCAACACCAGCACTGGAGCTGTGCTGGCTCAGTCGCTGTTTTCCCCACACCAGGGTTGGAAAGCGGGGTTTGCTTAGCAATAGTTGGAAGGCCGAAGCACCCTATTGATTCCCATATGGGAGTCGTGGGCGACTTCGGAACTTTTTGGACGCCGAGGTTTGGACGGCAACCCATTGGGGACGCCGGAGGCCGGCGGGGAGAGACCGGCTAACTGATGGGGCCGGGCGGCAGTTTACAGGCGAAGGCCAACAAATGCATCGCTGCAGGAAAACATAGAACGACTCATGCTTGAAAGTGCTCCAGAAGGAAGGATTTGAGGGCGCTGCTGCATAAGGAAGAAGGCACAAGCCAGGATCCCAAAGTCAAGATCAATGATCACAAATAGAATAAAATAGCCCAAATCGACGGACAACAAGTGACAAGTTGGTTGAGTTTGCTGAGCCATACCGAATCCGGTCGGAGGTTTTCAAAAAACGAAGCGGCGACCTTGCTGGCCACAAGAGGGGAGTCCGTGGTGGCTGGTGGCGATTTGGTCTTGCACCTAGGCGACGCAGCAGTGAAAACGATATGACGATACATCATAATAAATTGATAAGGATGCTAGGCGTATCCCCGGGATTGCAGTTTTTTGTTGCTACCTGCGCCCAAAAAACAAAATCAAACAGAATAATCCGATGCAGACGTCCGAATGCCAGCAAGATACGTTGGAGTTGGAGATGCGAACAGCAGAACGCAGTGTCAGATGCAAGCACTTTCGGTGTCAGATTCAATCTGCCGTCGACTTCCACAGTGACAGGTGATGACGCTGTGCGTTGGTGTGCCACACCCAAAGATGGCTGCTTGGCCTGGCGTCTACGTGAGGAAGGTGGTGATGTGGTGCGGACCACCTCTTTGAAGGCGGGGCCGTCGAGGATTGCCGAGCGAGCCAATCGAGGAAGAGGAGGAGGTTCGTTACATCACCCAGTTGCTGTAAGGTGGAAGAGGAGGATCCCAGGTTGTTCTTCTTGTGAGATACGTTGTGATACCAAATTGAATTCTGTACTGATGTTGTCATGTCATGTCCATTGTTTGTTGTCAATATGGAATTTGGTGGAACACCTGATACATTTGGACCACTGGAGGAAGGACACTCACTCACATAGCCATAGCTAAAATAATTAGATGAAGAGCCCGAACCCCGTATATGGTCAATTTTGCCAAAAAAGGAGGGAGGCTACTTTTGCACCACTCGCACAGTATTGCGCGTAGAAGACAGAATGAACATGAATGAACTATCACCTGACAACCTGATCCAGATCCCAACAAGAATCGCTTTGGTGCAGGAGATGGACCGTATGGTTGCGCAAACAGAGGCCCGGAACTGCTGATCATGTTTTTATACTTCAGACAGGCCATTGACAGATTGTGACAGAGCAAGTGTGTTTCGGCTGACTGGCTGACTGGTTGCAACTCATGATATATCATGATCATGACACATTCTTGGCTCCTTCTGAGTTCACTGTTCACAGCAACTTGCAGATTTCTTTGACCATCCTAAAGATTGCTTGGGTTTTCTTCTAGATGGTCTCGTGATGTCTCGTGTGAATGATTGAGATGTCAAACCGGAATGGTTGGTCGCACGTGACACCCGCAGACGTTCCCGCACCCGACGTACCCGACGGGCCACAGCTCCAGGTCCAGCTCCAGAGGTGGGAGGCATCTGACCCCCGAGCGGCCAAAAGTGCCGGAGGAAGGGATTGGCTGCGACGCAAGCGGCTCCACAATGCGCGTGTGTGGAGCTCACCAGGATTGCGCTTCTATCGGAAGCAGCGGACATGGCTGGCCAGTCAGAAGGACTAGGAGTTGTGATTTGCCTGTGGTGCCACAGTTGGAGCGACCCTCTTACCAGCTTTGCAATGAACCAATGGACGAATTTTGTTGGCTGCATGTTTGTTTCCTTTTTGAAGGGTTTGCAACCTATAGATGTACAAACTGCTGGCATGACAAAGACATGCCATTTGCCCTTTCCCTCAAAGCTGTCCTGTTGCAAAGCAACTGGAAGGGAATCGCAAATAGTAGGATGGAACTTGATGGAACAAAAGCTCAGTGATTGTATGCGGTTGGTAAAAAAAAGTATATAGAAGAAGTGAACTCCTTTGGCCAAATAAGATTGTATTGCAAAACTGCTTCATGTAGAGTTTCTGTCTGAATCGCAAGAGCTCTACTATTCTTGTAGCTTACAATGGTATGCTCTTGTCATTTTCAACATTTTCTACAGGTCCTGCGCGAATCCCTTTTTATCCCTGAAGCCTCAGAGTAGCTGAGTTTGGCTCGATCTTTGATCCTTCGCACGTCCACTCCCCAGATGGGGCCAAATGTTGAAACAAGTTGTGGTGATTCGGATGCAAGGGCTATGTTTGTGATGGCGTTGATAGAGTGGATGTCCCGATGTCCAAACTACTGAGGAATGATCCCATGTATTGCTAGATGCATGGTATGGTGTCTCTCATATCTCTGGTTGCCTTAGTTATGCTGTTGCTCTAGACTGTAGTAGTTGCACTACTTGCTTTGCCAACCTCATACAGTCTGCAATATCTGCACAACATGCGTGGAGCTTGGCACACGATAGAGGCTCAACAAGGCTCAAGCCCGATCAGCTCTGTGCCCCGCAATCCCGCAAAACAAGGAGCACGCCGCACCGGCCGTTCTTTTCTGGAACGACTATGGAAATAGTTTTGATTTTCTACACTTCTACGGATTTCTTCATTTCAACCACCACACCCCTGGCGTTACAACCGAGGGTAGCTGTGACATTTTCAAAACATGAACGCCATTATGCGCACATTGGCAAATTGAGATCGTTGTAATTACTGTAAGGGTCTTTGGCCGATTGCAATCAGCGAGCTGTTGAGGCAGAGCGTGCGTGCGTGTATATTTTGCTGTGTCTGTCAGGGAGATATGGCGCTCCGTGGTGCTTTGCAGCTCTCACGGCTCCGCATGATGAAGGCCATGAAACCAGTTCTTTGGAGCTGTGATGGGAATGCAAGACCTTCCAAATTTACATCAAGTAAAGGTCTTGCGATGTCTTGGGTTGGAGATTTGATTGTCCGGTGCATAACTTCCCTGAGGCGCTCCCCGGCTGGGGTGGGCAGATACAGATTCACAGTTTATACACAAAATATATGCAACACAAATAGTTTTGTTTGGATGTAGGGTATGTACATACTATACACGTACCCCGACTTTTGGCTCAAGGGAAATAAGCGCGAGCGGCCGAGCTTTGAGCGTCCATATACATTTTCATGGTAGCGGAGCTCTTGGTTACGTTGGCCGCGCTTTTGATCCACTTGGTTGGCCTCTACCTGCCCGAGATTGTCGCCTCCATCGGTGTGCTGTCCGCCGCTTCGGTGGGCGCACGCTGGAGGTGGAATCAGAGGGCACTCCAGCAGCGACGAGTTGATCGCTGGCGGCGCCTGGTGCGCAAGATCTTCAGGATCCGCTCCCTCCGACGAGTTTGGGGGCATTTGGGCCACTTCTTGAACGACCGGAAGCGATGGCCACGGTTGGAGGGATGAGTGCACAAGAGTTGATCGACGTGGTACGACAGCTGAGGCAGGAGGTCACCCAGGGACAGCAGCGCGAAGCACGACTACAAGGGCAAGTTGAGATGCTAGTTCACGCTCAGCAAGCACAAGGAAGCGATCCAGGAGGACACTTCGAAGGTATGAGGCAAGCGTTCACGGCCTTGGCGCAGTCGCAGCAGGACCTCATCGAAAACATCAAGGTGCCGAAGGACGCCAAGAAGACTATGAGCTTGGTCGACAATCGTGGACTAGCGAAACCGGACAAATTCGACGGAAAGGAGGAAGGATTTTTGTACTGGCGCACTCGACTAGAGGCCTTTGTGACCTCGATCCATCCGGATCTGGAGGACATCATGCTGTGGGCCGAGGAGATGGACCATGAGATCATGTCGGCTGACATCAAAGCCGCTTGGGGCCCGTTGAACCCCAGTGAACGCGAAGTCGTGGACGTCGACAGCATGAACTCGCAGCTGTTTGCGGTGCTGCAGACGTTATGTGAACGTGAAGCTTTTCAGATAGTACGGAGCTCTGGAAAGCACAATGGTCTGGAGTCGTGGCGACGCCTGGTACGAAGATTTGACCCGGCTACCGGGAACCGAAGACGAGCAATGTTGAGAGCCATTCTCAACCCAAGCAAGGCGAGCAAGCTCGAAGACCTGTCGAACTCCATCGAATCTTGGGAGGAAATGGTAAGGCAGTACGAACACAAGAAGAGACCGGACGGAACACGGCATCAGCTCGACGAGGAGATCCGCATGTCGGTACTGGAACACTTGTGCCCTGGCGAATTGGAAAAGCATTTGCAGTTGAATCGCTCAAGATTCACATCGTACCTGGACGTGCGCAATGAGATCGTGCTATACATCGAGGCAAGGCTCGGGGCCAAGTTTCGAATGACCGATGCAAGCCAACCTCCCGGAGGGCAAGATCCACAACCCATGGACGTTGGAGCCTTTGAGAAGAAAGGCAAAGGGAAGAACAAGAAAGGCAAAGGCAAAGGAAAAGACGGCAAGACAAAGAAGGGCGACTCGAAGGGCATCGGAAAGTGGCAGAGCAGCGGAAAAGGACAAGGATCCCAGGCCAAAGGCTCAGGTTCGCAAAGTTCGAAGACTTGCCACAACTGTGGCAAGACGGGGCATTTTGCTCGAGATTGCTGGAGCGCTGGCGGCGGTGCAGCGAATGCGAACCAGAAGCCGAAAGGCGGGAAGTCTAATCCCAAGTCGAAGGGCAAAGGTGGCAAGCACATGTCCAACCTGGAGGAGTCCCCCGCAGAGCCACATGCAGAGCCGATGGATACAGGATGCTTCAGTCTCGCGGGACTCGAAGTAGAGATCGAGATCGACCCGGAGATCAAGCAAGAGCTGGAGGATGCAGATCGATGCATGAATCCCTGCGACTATTGCTTCTGCCAGAATTGCGGACTGGACGAAGGAGGACATGTTGAACACATCTGCAACTTGTGCGGCATGGATTGGGAAAGGTTCCTGGAGAACGAGGACCTGAAGTCCATTCGAGCTGCACTCAAAATGACGAAGCCGGACGACTTCGAGTACATCGTGGACAAAACGATTTGCCTCATGAGGGGAATCTCACTGAAGACCTTCCAGGCTTATAAGGACGATGTGAAGGAGAAGTTGCGGAAGAAGGTCGACCCTGATGAGAGCTTGCGGAAGATGAACAAGGAGACATTGCAGCAAGTCGAAAAGCACAGGCAGGAACTTCGCTTGCTGTACTTCGAGAAGTTGACAGACGCGATCGTTGGGGAGAGTCGGACCTCTGGTCCAGGCCAGCCCCCGGGATCCAAGGATGGCGGGACGAGTCAGACCGTTGGTCAGGCCGGTCCTGCATCCGGATCCAATGAGCAAGCTTCGAGCTCAGCGGGTCGTGTGGAGGCGGAGGTGAAGCCCAGAGTGATGGAAGAGATGAGTCGAGCCTTTGGTTCGGCCGAGTTCCCATCAAGACCCGCAGGGTCATCATCCGGGACAGTTTTGCACCGAACCATCGAACAGATGGAAGTGGCGAACATCGACGCTGCGATTCGCGAGAAGATGGCAGCGTGCGAGGAATGCGAAACGAAAGAAGAGGTTCAAAAGTTGGAAACCGAAGTCATGGTGTTGAAGGCCAAGAAGGACAAGTTGAAAGAGAAGATTCACCGAGATGACCAGGTTACCAAAGCGAAAGCCAAGGCAGCGCCTAAGCTCACCGCGGAGAACCTGAACGACCAAAGTTGGCACGAT